CTAAATGTTACTACTAAAGGTCAAAATACAATATTAATAGTCAAATGTTACGAAAAGACGTTATAAGAAAAGAAAGAACAATGTGTACGAAAGAACGTCAGTGAGCACGAAAGGACGTTTTCAATAAAGAACGTCAGTGAGCACGAAAGGACGTTTTCAATAAAGAACGCCAGATGGTGCTGCAATTTGTAAAACATTCCGAGTGTAATTGTGCACCTCGGCATGCAGTTATCAATGTACACAAGACTTATTTATTCGTGTATAATACGTGTGTTATATGCATCCTTAATTGTGGGAAATTAGATTCTGGAAAAATACATCTGTCGTATATATACAGGCTGTCAGCATAAACCACGAAATTTGCGATCTTTTAACCCCGGTTTTTTTCACCAAAATAATATTCTAATAAGAGCCCCCTATTTCTAATTTTGAGAGCGCCCTGGGCGCTTATTATGTCGAATACGCTATGTGTACTACATAGTGTAATAAATATAACTTATCATTTTTATTTTACTATTCTTCCTGTAAGTAATGCTATGATATCAATGGTATATTGACTTTATGTGGAGATGATGTTTGAAACTAGTAGTAAAAGAGACTGAAAAAAGATGGATGTTAAATCAGCCTACCCTAGCTGCATTGCTGGTAATATTTCAATACTTGACATCGAGGCTGAAGGTGTTTTCATAACTTATCTGTAAAGCCAAAGTTAAACTTCCTTCTTCTCTGCCCCTTGACCTGTCATGCCTATTGCTTGCTTTGTTTTCAGTTCTTCTGTTAGTCATGTTCCATCACAGCTACCATGACCACATCGTCAGTCATAGATGATGGAGAAACATAGTTTCTGAGCCTGTGCAGTGGGGATGACATTTACTCCTCCACTTGATCACATCATGGTCGTCAAACACACCCTAGGTCACCATGACCTTGTCAGTTTCACTTGTTTGACATTTGTTGTTGTCTTGTCATGTAGTTTTGATCTCTTACGAATTGATTGGGTGGTAGCCTAGTGGGTATAGCGTTAGCTCATCACGCTTAAGGCCTGGGTAGGATTCCTCACATGGGTACTATATATGAAGCTTATTATCTGGAGTCTCCCGCTGTTATGTTGCTGGAATATTGTTAAAAGCGGCGTAAAACCATCCTCAGTGGCTTACAAAATTCAGGTCTTTTGCATTTTCTACTTCACTGAAACCTACAAGCGCTCAACGAGTATGGTGCTGACAAACCAAGAATCATAATCAGGGCGAATCTGGGATTTGAACCCATGATCACAGGATCCTGGCCTGGCTGAGAGGGGCAACTCTGTGTAGCTCTTCGGCCTGTGCCACCGTATTGTTGTGACTTGGCTTTGATGGACATTGTAATTGCTGTGTTGGTGGGAATGCATGATTTAAAGGGCAGCCACTGCCAGATGCATATGAGATGGGCAAAGGGTAAAACTGTCTGCAACACTTAGAGGGGGAGAAATATGACTGGGAGGTTAGGGAGGGTTGGTTATACACAAATTGAGACATGGGATATCGCAAAATTTGCATACTGTGCCACAAGAAATTGTTTCTTGGTGAAGTGGATGAATTTGCACTTCAGTGGCACATGCAGTGTGATCGGCAAGAGATGACAGCCTGGATTGCCACTGTAGTACTCCTAGTTCCTACTACTTCCTGTTTCTGGGCAGTTAGGACTATAGTAATGAAAGCAACGATTGTGTTATTATGCCCTGCCACAAAGCGGGAGGGGGAATATAGGAATAGGTTCTGTACTTAGGCTCAAATACGAGTAGCGTCCATTTCTGAAGTAGAACTAGGAAACCGTTCAATGTTTTATTATGAAACTTTGCACATGTAACAAACACTTGCTGAACTGGTGCCTTTTGCTGTTTTGGTATTTCTAAAAAATATATTTCTTGCATTTCCTAGGCAACAAACCGGACTTATACAAAAATACGACTAAAATTCGTTTCCAGAGCATAACTCGGAAAACGTTTAATATTTTATTATGGAACTTGGCAGATATATCAAACAGGCTGAACTGGTGCCTTTTGCTTAGTCATTGGCAACAAGTTCGACAGGTTCCTATCATTTAGTGTTCTTTTCTGGCACATATATCCATATTTATTTACATATATTTTCCATGAAACTTCTTGCAGTAGCATGAGTGAGCTGGTCTCATTAGGGTTGCAAACTGGCGGTAGCGCACTAGCCAGAGTCACTTGGTCTCATTAGGGGTGCAAACTGGCACTATTAACATGAGTACCGAAATTGTCATGCTTTTTTTTATTTTCTACAAAATTTTCTACACAGGGTTATCTGAGAGCTTACATAATTACCTAAGTGAGATATTGTCTGTTTGTTTGTTTTTTAACACTGCACTCAGCAGTATTCCAGCTACGGTATATGATGGCGGTCGGTAAAAAAATCAAGTCTGGGCCAGATAATCCAGTGATTTACATCGTGAGCATTGACCTACACAACTGGGATACGATGACAGGCATCAACCAAGTCAGAGAGGATAACCACCCGGTCTCGTTAGGCGCCTCTTACGGCAAACATGGGTTGCTGAAGCACTTTTCTAACCCAGATCTTCACGGGCATAGCTGAGATATATCATACTTGACAAAGGAAAATTGCGATATATGAACTTGTACAATGTATATGGTGAATGGTGAAAATAAACACAAGTCACAATTTACAAGTGGCACACGAACAACCCTACTTCTTCACAGTTGGTTTAATAATTCTTTTAGTGCTTGCAATTAGCATTTAGGCCATTCACAAAAAGTTCCAGTGAACTTGTCAAGACTGATGCCGTAATAGGTTTGTTCAGGAGTTACCTCCCCTTTCTCATCTCAGTGTTTATTCACTATCATATGAACAAACAAAATTCTAATGTGCCCCTGGGTGGGAGATAATGATAACACTGTTTTCTTGTTGAAATGGAGGAACATACTTTGAATGTGTCGGTCCAAACCCGAGAGTACATTTCAGTTTGATTCATCATGGGGCCTTAAAAACTCTGAATGGGTCTTCCATGGACCAGACATATGTCTCACATTTTGAGAGTTGTTAGAGAGAAAGGCATTAAAAAGCTGCAGCGAGTATTATAGCTACAATTGACTGAGATTCGGAATGGGCCAGAACATGTCAGGTCTCTGTCATGAGTGACATTTGTTTGCCAATCGAACAAGTTACAAAAAATCCTTCCAACATCTTAGAAAAAATGTATGCCAGAGAGCTGTGCCTTGGTGTGATTTTTGATGGCTATATGTTGTTTCAGGTTTGTTCAAAGCATCATGATTGATAAAAAAAGATAAACAATCTTTGAAAATTTAACCTTAAGTCTCAGACAGTTGAAACTGAAGTATAATCTATGGCAAAAACTATGGCATGTTGTCATGCCTATGCTGATGGAATAGAAAATGGGATGGATGAAAATAATATGGAGATAACATTCACAGAAGACTTCTAAACTCATAAGAAACAATCAAGTTTTGGAGAGTCACAGATATACACAAAGTCGTGGGATTCAGTATTTTTGCCCTGTTTTAAATTGAAACTGAAGCTGTTTTCTCTCTTTCAGGCTTGTGACTTGGCCTCAAGTGCCGAACCTATCGTGCCTATGAGCATGACTAAGTGTTTGTGTGGGGAGCCATTTCAACTGTTGGTGATGCTGTAGTCAGTCAGATGTAACTTCCTTCAGCCTCAGTAACTGGACAATGGCAAATGTATCTGAGTACAACTTGCCTGTCTACTCATTTGTATTTATAACATATCTACAACTTGATGCAGTTAACAACTATCTACTTCCTGTATGACTTTGGCTGCCCTACCACAAGCTGCCGCCTTGATGTGGGACATTCCTAATTTGGCAGTCCCAGGAACTATATTTTGTTGTGATTCATGTTCAGATGTCACCAGTTCAATGGCCTGTGTCAGTTGGTCTCATTAGGGGTGCAAACTGGCGGTAGCGCAGTAGCATGAGTCAGCTGGTCTCATTAGGGGTGCAAACTGGCATTAGTGCAAAAGCCTGGTCAGTTTGGTAAGGACTACAGGACTAGTGCCAATTTCTAACGCTGCCGCAATAGCATGAGTCAGCTGGTCTAATGTTGAAGTAATGGTTCAGGCTTTTCAGTATTCGGGTAAGAAACAGTTAACATGTTTAAGTTACAGTCAGTTCTTCCCCACCATGTGATGTAAGGGAGATCACTCTAATTCACGGAAGTGCTTATTCTATGGTTACACAAGAATCTGATCAATGTTATTGTCAGATGTAAGTCTGGGATTGATACTGATGTGTTGTGATGGTAATGTGTGAAAGTGGTTGGAAGGATGTGTGTCAGTTACTGGGAACAATGCTTATTAATAACAACATTTACTTGAAGTTTCACTAGTCCAGATAATCCCCCCTTTAAGTTTAAGATATATATTGTACGAAAGAGGGGGAAGGTTGAACCAAGGCCTGATCTCTTCCTGTTTCCAGAGCCTGTGTTGACATTGTAAATCTGAAGGCTTACACTATGTTGAAAATGAAATGCGTGTTCTATTTTATCTGGGATCATTACTCAGACATGAGGACAGGGTATATTTCTAAGCTCATTAAAGAGACATACACCTTTCATACACTTACATATCTCTTAAACATGGTTGTTATGTGGAAAACAGATGGGGCGGTGAGTAGCCAAGTGGATGAAGTGTTCGCTCGTCACGATGAAGACACGGGTTTGGTTCCCCACATGGGTACAATATGTCAAGCTCTTTCACTCACTCACTCACTCACTCACTCACTCACTCACTCACTCACTCACTCACTCACTCACTCACTCACTCACTCACTCACTCACTCACTCACTCACTCACTTTTAAACAGCCTTATGGTTACATCAAGTAAACAAATTGTTGAAACTTTAAACCAGTAATGTAAGTCATTTGCACTGACTGTGTTTTGCCCTTGTGTTTAATGAAATGTCTGTGTGAATATGTAACAGTTTTATATTGTTTCAGATGCTGTGGACTCTCGTGAAGTCATGATGTCATGTGACTAAAGCAAGAACCATGACGGACAAGTCAAAGCACCCTGGTGGTGGTGCAAGTGGGGGTGCTCATGGTGGGCCACCAGCATTGCCGCCCAAACTCAGCAGTGGGTCTTTCCGACAGTCGGAAGAGTTACTTGGAGGCCCATCTACCAACAGCAGACCTGTACCCAAACCTCGTAGAAATGTCTCGAAGACGGCACTGTCACCAACCACCTCTGACCCAACTGCAAGACCAATTCCCAAACCGAGGCCTAGGACAATGTCAAAGGAGAAAATTCTCTCGGATCTTCCTGACCACCCCAAAGGCCGAACGGGCAGTTTGGATGAGTCTCTGCTGCCCCCAGATGCAGAGGAGGCAGCCAGAATGGTGGAAGACATGGTACAGGCTGAGATGGATGCCCTGAAGCCAATTGACAAGAACCCAATCTATGACTTTGAGGAGTTTGTGGGCAACAGACCTGAAAAGCAGGTTCTTGGACAGAGTGTTCTCAAACCTGAAGTTGTCAGTAATGCTGATACAACAGCTGCATCACATGGTGGTCCGGCACCCCAACCTTGTCCTGCAGCTGTAACCGAAGACCTTTACTATAATGTTGGCTCTGATATGTTTGGGCTGCGACGATCTGACCCTGATGGAGCTACAGAACCTACCAACATCTCTGATGGACAACATCAGAAGGTTCAACCTGAAGCTGCTGTACTGAACAAATATGGAACTGTAAATGATGATCAGTTGTTTGGATGGCAACATCATGCAATGCAAGGTCCCTCTAAAGAAGTTGATACATTTAGTGCTATGAGGGGTGCAGCCAAGATGCCAGAGGCTGTGGGTGGTGATTTGTATACCAATTTTGACAGTTCCCAGACAGGTGACTTGATGGCCAATGCAGATGGGGAGGAGGATGAGTCTGTTTATGAACCCGTGTGGATGGGAAGCGCCAAATCAAAACCTCCCCTTCCACCTCCAGCCCTTCCAGCAGAGAAGCGACCTTTGGACAACCCAAAAGACACGTTTCTCTTGAAATTTATTCCAGGAAAGACTACTGATGTTTCTGCAACTAGTGAGTCCAGTACTGATGATCTAATGGCCAAGCTGAACATTAAGGATCGGTGGGGGGAATATGCATCCCTTGACCCTCGGGCCTCAATTGTATACGAGCAGCCCCCGCCTCAACACCCCCCTCCGCCGCTTCCAGCCGACACACACATCATCTCCAGTGCTCCACCCGTTCCTCCCAGACCAAGCGAAAGGTCGTCTGACGACAAGGCAAATGCCCCACCCACACCATCAGCACTTTTTGCCAATCTGGAGACACCGAAAACTGTGCCTCTTGAAGATGACCCTTTCAAGTACTCCGACTTTGCCAATGAGTGTTATGAGTTTAACAAAGTTGGGACTAAAACTGAAGGTGGCTGGCCATCTGCATCAGCTCAGCCGGTTCAGTCGGAGGATGTGTATGAACCATTTCCTGAAAGTCAGCAGGACAGCTTTGACCCATTTGGCCTTGGTCTCCAAAGTAACCAGCCACTTAGTTCTAGTCAGTGGGCAGCTGCAGCGACAGCACCAGCTGCAGCAGCAGCAGTGAGAAGCGAGTCTCCAAGCAGGCTCTCCCTGTCACAAGTACCACCACCACCTTTCAAGGATGACATGTACACCAAAGTGAACAAGCGAGCTGTACCTCCGGAAAACCTCTACGCAGTGGCGCAAGACATGGGTAGGTACATTCATTGTACATATGGGTTGGGGGCAGGGGTCCGGAAAATTTAAAATCCCAATCGGACATTTGCATTTAGGCCATGCCCCCTTCAAATAGCGTATTTTCGTGCGACTTTTCACACACATTACAAGTTGTTACGTACAGTGTTCCCTCGTTATTGAGCGTTTCGGTTATAGCGCGGTAGGCATGGCTCCCAAATTTTACTAAAATATTTAGTAAACTCAAGTTTTCCAATGACACAATGTTTTCCCCCATCTCAGAAAACATTATCAGCTGATCACTGCGATCACGTAACACCGGAAATACAAGTCAACAAATCCGAACTGAAGAACGCAATTTAATCCTATCATTATAATCTCTGGTAATAAAAAAAATTGTTCACTGTTTATCTGGACTAGAGTTTGCAATATATTGATTAATATTATTCAATATTTCATTCAATAATTATAATAATGTTTACAATAATTTCGGCGAAAGTGATCGGTAGATCGCATAACTCACCGTCATTTACAGCAACCACAGTCAGATTACCGCTATTGACGCCTTGAAACGAACTTTAGTTGCAAGAGAATGGATACACATATCATAAATGCAGTACCATGACTCGCTAAAAGTCATATTTGAGGCAGTTTGACTATTAAATGTCAACATAACGTTTTCGCAATCGAAATACATGTAGCGCGAGAAGTCCCTGTTGTGACTGGTCAAAATTGTTCCATACGTCAAAAAATATCCTGCATACCATCTGTACCAAAGTGCTACGCTTATGGTTCTTATATATTTGGTGGAAGTTTCAACTCAAATAACACGATGTTGGAATATATTCTTCCAGATAAAATAATACTTTCAGATACAATTTCTTCCCACCATTGCATCAAAATTCTTTAAAGTGGTATCACTGGGTACATTTTAACTGAATCACTGGTAGATTGGGAGGAAACGTGTGCACAGCTGATTGCTATTTCCGGCTTAGTTTACGAGAAAATACACACGGTAATCTTAATCTCTGCATATGAAACAATGCCTTTGAGAGCAGGAAATACATTTTAAATGGTAAAATCATCATGTTTAGTGATGTTTTATATCAAATTAAATACTTTTATTGACCAAGTTTGTTATGACTGTTTATACGTTGAAGGGATACGATAACGCTCATCAATTATTTGGACCCCGAAGGTAGCGTTGTTTGTTTTTTAAATGTCCGGACAGATAAATTTAAATGTCCGGTAAGCAATATTTTAAATCGGACATTTGAGATTCCCAAACGGACATGTCCGGCGCATTTGACCGTTTCCGGACCCCTGGTTAGGGGGGGCTGCCATCTATGGTGCCGCAATTCGCTGTGCAGAATTTTTGTCGGTTTGGAAACATAGATTCGCCCTGATTATGTCTCTGTGTGTGTCAGCACCATACCTGTGCTGGTAGGTTTTTTCAATTTTGTAAATGTGTAAAGCCTGCACCTCTTTACACCTTCATATAACAAAACATTCTGAAGTCCCTTCTTATATATATATCTATATATAGGCTCTCTCACAGAATCATCACTACAGATAAATGTACGCAACAATACGAAATTAATAATTAATTCTTGATAATAATGCAACACAAACACTGCCCATTCCATTGTCAGCCAATCAAATGCAACGGAAACACTTGCAATTCATTTATATGAGCTTAAAACATCAGAACAAATTACACACTGACAGAGTTTGAGGAGTTATCTCCCTTTGTTCACAGTAAACTTCATCTTTGTCAAGACTACTTATCCACAAACACAAGGCTGCACATGATTTCACACCCCTTTATGATCTCCCTTTATTGTTCCCTGCCACGATGGAGTTGGGGGCGAGCATACTCAAATGGGATCCGAGCTGTCTGTGTGTCTGTCAGTGTGTCCCAAAATTGTTTCTGGAGCAGAACTCGAAAACTATGCGCATGATGAGGGCTTCATTTACTAAATTTGTTTTTTATAATCACCAAAAAAATGTAGTTGTGCATTTTGCTGTATTGTTTCCTCAATATTTTTTTTTCTTTATGCCATGGTTTCCTTGGATATGACAATGAGTTTGGACTTTGTCACTGAAATTGAGTTCGGTAAAGGTATTATTTCCGCAGATGAATTAAAAAAACTATCAGCATGATTAGGGCAATGTTTCTGAAACTTAGTACAAACATTTGACAAAAATGGTAATTAAGCTATTATTGTTTGCTATGTGTTTGTATTTTTTTCTTCTGTTTCCATGGATATGATATTTGGACTTAATTTTTGTGAACAACCTGGGCTACATTTACAAGACATGGTACACACTGTATCTGTGCCTTTTGCTATTATGGTTTCTGAAAAACAATTCTATGGGTATATGCTTTTGTTTCCAAGGCAGCACATTGGCAACATACAGTCAAGTCCTGTAAATCCGACAGTCAGCTTTTCCAAAACTATTGATGGAAACCGATTAAATCAGTGCTATTTAGACCAGTTAATCCGACAGTCCTGCTCTCCGATTCCGACACACCTAATTTGCAACAGATTGCTGAAACCACTCATTGATCAGTTTTGTTAATCCGAAAATGATCAACTTACTCTGTGGACATCTGCCAGTGAGTACCCAGCCCCATGTATTTATGCAAGCCAAGTGGCTGGATATTGCAATTGCTGCAGAGATAAACTTGTACAATAATAAACAATTAATCCTTCAAATAAACCAAACAGGATTAACCACATGTTTAGATTAATTAAGAAAACCTCAATCTCATTAAAATTGGCCATACAAAGATCTGACGACATCCCATTACAGGTCACATCAGAACGACCTTTTGCAAACTTTGACTGACCAATGGTATGACTAACAGGAAGTCAACATTAACCAATGAGAAAGCAGCTATCTTAAGGTTCTCTAGTTTCAAACTGGCAACTTCCATTCCAGATTACGCTTTTGAAAAGTATTTTGAATCAGTCATACAGCTCTTAACTGTCATTCAGAATACCCTGTGTTAACCTTTTCTGCTGACACTATAACTTAACAATATGCATATATATATCCTTTCTAATTATTTTATTAAAACATACATGGATCATTTGTCGTGTAGTTGTCCAATTGTCGATCACAAACATTTATGATACTTACACTGGTTTATTCATCAGTACTTGTAAATCCGACATGATCATATGCAACCAACCATTTCGGATTAACAGGACTTGACTGTATTCAGGTGAGGGTTGGATTCATTTCTGGAGCAGGACTCATTGTCCGTTCATTATTGTTGGATGAAAAGGTTCTTAATTGGTGACTTTTACTGTTCAGGAGTTTGGAGCGAAGTATAACTCAAAAACCATTTAATATTTCTTGATGAAACTTGTATGCATACCAGATGTCATTTTGGTATGTGTAGGTTAAAACATGACACCAAGGTTTTGGGTGAAAATGTAAAATCTTGAGAGAGGTTTCCTGAACTCGAGGTTCTACATTTTCAACTAAAACCAAGGATGTGTGTTTTAACTAACTTAACCATCTAAATGCAAGTGATACCAGAAAGAATACCAAATAGTGAAACAATAGCATAGTTGCGTCAATCGAAGATAGCAGGTGAGGGAAAGACCATGTGCAGCATGTAGACAACTGAAGTCAGTCAGTGTAAGATTGAACACCTTATCATCACCTGCCCAGGTTGCTCAGTGGGAAGACAGTGTGTAAACAAGATATATGATGTTTATAAATTGTTGGTGATGTAACTCTACTGTCATGAGAGATTCTTCAAAATGTTGATGAACATTAAAGGGAGACACTGGGAAATCCGGGTTCTCTGATGGAAAGCCCGGGTTTTAACAGAATGCCCAGGGTCTCTAGGATATTGACTTCCTTCTAAGTTTATCAATAAATGAAGGCACCCAAAAACAATAGGATGGAGTCACTAGAGGTTTATCTAGAATCTATGCATGTTTTGACAAGCGAGTTAATGGATTGGGTGGTCATGCCCGGTGACAAGTTGGTGATTTGGTTTATTGCGTGACATCGAACACTGACAGCCTGGATGCTGCTAGTGTAAAGGAGTTTAAAAATATGTGACCTATTAAAAATAAAATAATGCAAATGAAAAGTTTTTTCTGTTTGTTCCTGGGGTCCTTGAGGATTGCTCCTGTAGTATTTGAATCTTGGGACCAAGTAAATTTGCAACTTTTAACATTAGGGTTATGAAAAGGACACCTTGATGTGCAGGCTATGCTTAGACCTAGGCAGGAAATTGGCAAGAGACACTGGATGTCGAGGAGCAAAGATATGACTCTTTCAAGGCATCCAAATAAATGGACAACAACTGTTTGGGCCAAGAGAGGTCTTTGAATGTCGTACTAGGTCCTTTGAGAAGAAAAAGGTCACAGTCATTTTCTAAGTATGTTCTCTGAGACCTTTAGGTTGAAACATGTAGTTGAATGATATTTAACTTACCTGTAGGCATGTCAAGGTTTGTAGCCATTTGATGGGTAACCACTTCAGCCATGATGTTACAAGAGACACTGCTGCAGAATCATCACTGATCATGTAGACTGGATCTATGTGAACATGATGAACTTGATAAATATGATGAAAGTGATGAACATAATGAACATGATGAATACGATGAAAGTGATGAACACATTCAACATGATGGATACTATGAACTTATGAATGCAGTCAACATGATGAATGCGATAAAAGTGATGAACACATTCAACGTGATGAATACGATGAACTTATGAACACAATCAACATGATGAATATGATGGACTTATGAACACAATCAACATGATGAATGCGATGAAAGTGATGAACACATTCAATGTGATGAATACGATGAACTTATGAACACAATGAACATGATGAATATGATGACTTGTGAACACAATGAACAAGAACAGATGATCATGAACACAGATGTACATCATCAACATGATGAGCATGATGAAAGTGATGAATAGAATGAACATGATGTACACGAGGAATATATGTCTCTCAAACATGTAT